ACGCATATGGTGCGTACCCGGCGTACTCAGCGTACTCAGCGTACTCGGCGTATGGATCCGGGGTCCGTTCGTACGGTGCCCTCCGGCGTACGGTCTTGACCGCAGCGTTGCCTTTCCGACCGAGGCTTGGGTGCCTGCTCCGACGCCCCGTCGACGTCTGTGACCGGCCCTCGCTTCGAGGAGCTAGGTCAGGGGGGTCTGCGAGTCAGCAACCCCCTGCGGGTCAAAGAACCGCTTAAGTCGTCCAGCATAGAACGTCGGGTGCGTCGTCATTGACTTATGCAGGTCGATGGTGTACGACGCACCATGTCTGGCCAGGACTGCAAATGGTCCGATGAAGCAGTGCTTCAGCTTGTTGCTACCGACAGAGCTGACAGTATCAAGAGGTAGGTTCCTCGTAGCTAGTATCACTAAGTCCCCCACTTTAAATACACTTAAGTTCCTCTTCCATGTTTGTCGGAGTACTCCTTTTGTTTATCATGGGCCGCGGCCATGGCATCGCGGACCCTGCTGACAACGCTCAGCTTGGTATCCATAAAGGATTCCACTGGTTTCGACAGGGAAAATGGTTTTTCACTAGCGATTAACGTGGGAGAGAAAGGGTCTTTCCGAAGGTCTCTCCCCCCACTTTAGAATAGAGAGGCGTGCAGTGTTCTCTCGGAGAGAGTGGAGAGGCATTTTGGGGGCGAACAAAAGGCCTTTCAAGTAGGAACGGCGTGAACCCCGTGGATGCGTGCACCGCGTTGTTGAGCGCAAATGCAATAACTGGAAGCTGCGTCGACCACGTACGTGGCGCTGCCGCGCACACACTGCGCAGCGTGTCCTCGAGCACTCGATTGACGCGCTCTGTCTGGCCATCTGTCTGTGGATGGTCCGCAGTGGACATCTGCAGACGAGTTCCCAGTAAAGGAAACAGCGTTTTTTTTAAACGCAGCCACTAACCACTGGTCTCGGTGCGAGACAATCGTATCCGGGAGACCGACGAGCAGCCTTGCGGTTTGTCGCCCGTAGCAGTGACGGGGACCGGAGCAAGATGGTACATCTTGCTCAGCCGACACACGAACATCAAAATTCCGGTGTCGCCGTGTCCGTCGGCGGGAAGCCCAAAGATGAAGTCAAGACTCATCGCCTTCCAACAGTCAGCCGGTACGGGCAGGGTCTTTAGCGGAGCCGAGGAGTGCCCTACGAGTTTGACCCGCTGACATGCTTTAAGTGTCTTCACGTATCGGGCGACCCACTTGTACATGTGGGTCCACCCGAAGGCCTGGTAGACCGATAGAAAGGTCTTCTCGCGGCCCAAGTGGCCGCTGGAGGGCGCGTCGTGCGCCTCCGCAAGGGTATCGAACTTCAGATCCTCGTCGTTGGGTACGAGCACCCGTGGAGGTTCATTGGGCTCCACCCGGTAATAGAGGAGGCCATTCGTCAGCTCGTATCGGTGGAGCCGGGAGCGCTATCGCGAAGAGAGCCAGTCGGGCTTCGCGCTCGTTCCTGCCGTGAGCAGCTTGACGATAGGCGCGACAGCCTCATCGTCCCGATACGCCATGCGTATCCGATCATATAGATCCGTTGTCACCCGTGTGATGTGGGCCAACTCGTAGTCAGGACGCCGAGAGAGAACGTCCGCAAGCACGTTGAGCTTGCCTGGCTTGTAATCGACGCGGAAGTTGTACACCACGAAGAAGGACAGCCACCTCGCCATCCTTTGGGAGAGGTGAGGCGAGTTAGTCGCCGTCCTCAAGGATGCGTGGTCTGTGTAGATCACGAAGGGCCGGGAGCCCAGAAGGTGAACACGAAACCTCACAAGGCATATTTCATTGCCAGGAGCTCCCTTGTCGTGCCCAGGGTAGTTTCCCTTTGGCGGCTTTGACCTGCCTGAAACTCGAAACGAGATGGCTCGTTTCATGTCCCAGCCGTGTTCGGCCTGCAGCAAGGCACTCCT